GGGGGGTATTAAACATATCTGTTATTAAATGTGAAGGTATTTTATAGCACGCGGGTGGTTGGAGGGTGCCACTGGTAGAGGACCAACTCGTTTAGTTTTCATCTGTTGTTCCTGTCTGTCTGTCTTGCTTATTTTTCCCCGCACAATGTGAGGCTGCGTGGTGGAATCAGGCTCTCTTCAATTTTTGGGCATGTAGAGTCATTGGTATCATCTTAAAGTTTGTTCTCTTCTCTTTATTTCGTTGAAAAAATATCCATTTATCTTGAATACAAGTCGAGACATTTGCGAAAGAAGGAGGTGGGGGTCGCTTGTTTTCGGATGTAAAATTAGTGAGAAAATGGCCACTAAAGATTAATTATTTCCTTAGCTTAAGAGTCCGTGGTAACTGAAAATTTACATCTTCTGTGAATTTTAATCAAGGTTTTTCTGAAAAATCCACACTGAAATGAGATTTTTAATGGGCATGAAAGGTGTTAAGCCGATTTTTATAAATGATATAAATTCACAAACCTTCGGGAAAATGCAAGTTTTTTCACTTTGATTATTTTGAGGAGAGCCTGATTCCACCACGCTGCCTGACATATTTGTATCGATGTGCTTCTCTTTATTCAAACTACCTGCACCAGCCCCACCAGCAACAACGACGCGGGCCACGGAACTGACATAAGGTGACAAAAACGCACTGTTTATTCACGCCAGTTTCGACAACTAAAAAGAGGGTTTTTTTGCCGGCGTAACCATTAAGAGCCTACAACACCACCCACTCAGGCTATAAAGGAAGAGGAAGGCCACGGAAAAGGTGGATCGAGGGTGTCAAGGAAACCCTAAGAAAACATAACATCACAACTGAAAGAGCTGCGGAGCTGGCCTATCATAGAAAACTGCATCTCCCCTCGACGCTTAACGGCAACAGAGGATGAACAAGTAAAAGTAAGTAAGTAACCATTTAAAAATGCGTTCTTCCAAAATTTGAATTCTAATTTTTCAAAACCTAGTCACAGTTTCACTTTGATTTTTTCATAAGAGTAGGGAACTGACCAGGCTTCGATTTAGGAATTATTTTTAAAAATTTACCCCTAAAATGAAAAAGTAAGTGTTTTATCAGCGGACGACAGAACAGAAATCACAATCTAAGCTAGGAATACCTGATGACAAACCAGGTGTTGCCGTGGACAGAACAGACGACGTCGATACAACAGTGGACGATGTGATGACGGCAGAGGCTGAAGAGATTCAAGTCCTGTTACAAAGTGTTTATACAAAAAAACAAGAAACAAACTAAAAAAAAAAAGAACCTAAAACAAGCAGGAAAAATGAAATTTAAAAACAGCATCAAAACACAAAAAACATGAAAAACCAAACAAAAAAAAAAAGCAAAAACTTATTTCGACAGCAATAACAACC